AGGGACACGCGGATGAACTGTACGCCTCGCATTTGTGTCATGCAGCGGCAGAATATTGGCAGATCACGTGTATCTGGGCTTCCAGTTAGTACCACATAACCTCTATATGTACGACCGGCTACATGTGGGCAGTCTAATGAAAAGTATGCGGTTATCGCGCGGTGGCTAATAGACGTGAGTCCAAACATTTATGTTCAATTTCAGTTTACGCCTAGAAAACTCCAAATGGACGGATTTATTCCAAGATACCGAATAATTTCAAAGGAAAGCACAAATGCAAAACCTCTAAATAAATTGATATCGATGTTTGCTAAAATCAGCCGAGTAAATTTTCTTTCACTGTGACTCAGTTGAGCTAGGCATTTAGCAAACCACTGTTTTTAATCGACTGTAGTTAGCGTCCTTTAACGACAGAGGCACTAAACCAAAAACGCTAGATGATATTACTGCAGATTTCGAGTTTCTACAAAACAGCCCTAAGTGCTTATATATAATATGGACGTTCTGTGAGAAATTGAAAGGAACAGGGGAGAAGTAAACACCGTTGGAGTTTATTGTTTCCCAAGACTCTCGCAGGCGACCCTTAGTCGTAAATGGAAGGCTACCTCATCAATGTGTATCAACTTTTTGGTGTTTCGGTGCATATTACAAAAGTGCAAGAAAATCTAGGTAGAGGTACGGGAATACTGCGCTGAAACTAAAAAAAGATATTTATTGCGGGATGTGGGGATCAGCACAAATTTCGTGTTCCTAGGAGAAAACAATCCAGCCGGTAAAAGTGACAGAGGTCTTAGAAGACAGTCGTGTGAGTGGACATACCTTGGACGGATTGAGGATGCGCTTGGCAGGTGTCTTGACAAATAACCGTTCCATGAGCTCAGTCTTCGTCGCCGAGGCCTTCCGTTCTGGACTAAGCGGTATATGCATGGACGCAGAACGAAGAGATTTAGACCTCGGCTTAGAAAAGATATGCTGATTGGTCGCGCTGAGGGCAGTCCCAGAAAAGTCTGCAGTCAGAGCCTTTACACGAGTGGCAGCGCCCGGAAAGTGGCGCAGACGAACGTTCTGAAAAGGACAACAGCAGTCAACGTTGTTTAACTCACATGATATTAAACACATCAGTAGGTTGCCCTATTGATGAGATGGAAAGAAGTGAAATAAAAACGCCACAGAAAGTCAACAAAAGTGAGTTTGGAGGGGTGAGGGGGAGGTGGTTCTGCTCGGCACACTGAGAATACCTATTTAACTACACTTCTGCCCAAATGAAAATATGGGTACGGACTAGTAAAACTTGTTGCCCTACTGCCAAAGTGCCTTCAACACTCACATCTACCCAGCGTAATGGTACACAATGAAAAGGGAAGGTCGCGGATAATGTGAAAATATTCACCTGGGCCACCATTTCTTCAGGAGTGGGAACATACAGTTTCTGACCAGGGAATA